CATCGAAACACAAGGCTATCTGATTTGTACGTGAAAATGAGCCAATCAATGAACAAGCCCTATATTTATCTCTGAAAGACAGTGCTTTATTAACTTGAATGCGGGTAACTTATACCTGCACTCCAGTTAACTAGAGCTGTCATCGATATCGGCAATATCGATGTATCGTTGATATTTTTTTGCCGATCAATAATCGATACACATTTTAAAAAATCGATACTTTTGACTTATAAATTAAATGTCTAGAAATTATAAAATTCATTCAAAATATATACAGAAGCAGTTATTTATATCTATTGTTATGCTTTTGTTATATAGTGGAATTATTTCATAGCAATGGTGACAAAAAATATTGTCTTGAAAAAATCATGCAGTGGACAAGACACTGTACAGAACACGTTTTTGACTGAAATCATTGAAACAGGTATGAAAGTGAATGACAGACAAGTGAGTATTGGATATTATCGATATATCGGTGTATCATTGATTTTAGTCACTTGATATCGATATATCGTTGATATGCTTTGCACTGAATCAATGACAGCTCTACAGTTAACACACTGTGCATGTATGGGTATACGATTTAACTCTGACACAGTTTCAATAGAAAGTTCGCCAAACTATGATACAAATTATGTTTAGAGGACATTTTTGATACAGTGCTTTGATTTGTTTCAAAAATATTTACAGACGGTTGAAAAAAGCAAACATTTAAATTGCTAATCTAAGCAACTTTCTCAAGGTATACCAGCAAGCCAAAATTGCTGACCATAATTGACCAAAAACAATCCACTTTTAAAGAATATAAGTCACTGAACAATATACAGACACTTTGGGGTCAGTCCCTATCTATCCCCGGCTGGAACCGCCCCTGTGAACGGTCAATTTAAAACCTTAATTAATCATATATATTGTTTTTAAACCATTTCCACAAGGACAAAAAAATCCAATGTACCGTCAAGTCTCAAAAATATTTGAGACCTATTGAGCATTTACTGGAGTGGTTCAAACCATGGTGATAGGTTCTGATACCCAAAATCATAATACTTTTGCAGTAAGCCTAAAATTGTATTTTTGTCAAAAGGCATATTATGAAACTTTCACAAGTAATTTTGTGACCATACCAACATAAAACGGAGAATCTTCCATTGTAAGCATGGGTACATCATCATCATCTTCATCATCAACAGTGGTCTCCCTTGGTATGGACACCTGGTTGCTATGGTTATTGTCCATAAAGTGGGCCACATCAGAGGGCAAGGTCAATTTACTGCACATGCTTGATGGCAGACAGCAGCAACTGCAATGGAAAATTGATATTACCATGACTTAACTGTGATTTGAGCCGCGTCATGACAAAACCAACATAATGGGTTTGCGACCAGCATGGATCCAGCCCAGCCTGTGCGTCCGCACAGTCTGATCAGGATCCATGCTGTTCGCTTACAAACTCTATAACAAGTAGAGAAATTGATAGCGAACAGCATGGATCCTAATCAGACTGCGCAGATGCGCAGGCTGGTCTGGAACCATGCTGGTTACAAACCCACTATGTTGGTTTTGTCATGGCATGGCTCATTTATGTTATAATATTGTCTGGGGGTAATACCAGGTCAAACTTCAACATCTCACCAGTAACAAAAGTCATATCAGCAATAAATTACCTCCATCGTTTAAATTTAGTTTAAAGGCACATTATCCTTCTAAAATAAAAAAAGTTTTTTCTATCTTAGAAAATAACAATCAAGTGACTTCTAAATTAATGATATTGTAATAATGCATTAATAACATGACTGTATGATGTTGCAATAAATGTGAAATAATTTGTGATAAAGGTAGCACAATGTAAATAAAGTGGTATTTTTACTTTCATTCAAGATCACAATAACTTTATTTATTTCCAAAATCCAAAAGAAGCACAAAATGGCTTAGGTATATGGCCAATGAGAAAAAATTCCAAAACTATAACAATGGGACATCAAAAATAAAACACTTTTGAAATATAAAAAAAGTTAACAAGTTTCAGGCTTAACTATTTATTTCTGCTCAATTATGAAGACAGCCCCAAAATTATTTAAATCACTCTCGAATATCCTTCCTGGACCTAACCAGTGCCAGTATAATCTCATGAGGAAACAAGGTTGGTACCTCCAGCCCAGCTCATACCCATAACCCATTGGTTAAGAGGAAGATTTATCACACACCCGTGCAGATTTCACGACTCAGTAAGTATGGTATTGCACGGCCGTGCATATATATTTTGATGTGACGTCATTAGTGCAATATAAACATAATGTAAAGACGCGCTAAATGTTAGCGTTATACTGTAGGCGCATCAATGAAAAAAGACTCTTATTTCACTTCAAACGGTTTTTATTTTGGGTATGTGATAAATAGAATATTAAATTTATGTAAGTTCATTACTTAATTTATTGCACTTGTTGAATAAATTATTATTATGCTCGCCAGAGGCTCGCACAATATAATTTTATTCAATTCGTGCAATAAATTCAGTATTGAACATACACTCATTCAATATCCTCTATATCTTAACCTTAATGCCATTCGTCCCTCATAATTTGTCTTAATTTCATTGACTAAAATAGAACTGTGAAACAGATTATTTATGCCACCAACGCCATAGTGACACACTATTATACAAACACATCTTAATATTTATGATGAATTTTTGAAATAATTGATTACATTCTCTCATACAACTTGGGGCAAACATTTCAAAGTGAGTTAAAGATACCTTTGGAGACAGTAAAATCTTGCAATGAGAAATCAATTACTTACATGACTCTAGCAATGGCTGCCTCACATTTACGGAAGGAGATGTACCATATATACAAGACAGGTGGCATTATCAGCATCACTGTGATCCAACAGTTAGCAACTATCAGTGACATAAACAAGCCAAAATCATGCACAGCAGGTATCTTAAATATAAAACCATATAACATTAGCTTTTAAATCATACAAGATTTACACAAACCATATAAATTGAATGCAAACCATACAAAATTAATCCAAAATTTTCAAAATTATTACAAATCTTACAAAATTATCCAAAATCATACCAAATTAACCCAAACCTTTCTAAATAATTGCAAAGCATACAAAATTATCCCAAATCATACAAAATTAACCAAGACTTTAAACATTATTGTAAATCATACAAAATTATCCCAAAGCATACAAAATTAACCCAAAATTTTCAAAATTATTGCAATCATACAAAATTATCCCAAATCATACCAAATTAACCCAAACCTTTCAAAATTATTACAAATCATACAAAATTATCCCAAATCATACAAAATTAACCCTAAACATTCAAAATTATTGGAAATCATACAAAATATCCCAAATCATACAAAATTTCTGCAAACCTTTCAAAATTATTGCAAATCATACAAAATTACCTCAAATCATACAAAATTAACTCAAAACGCTCCAAATTATCGTAAATCATACAAAATTATCCAAAATCATACAATATTTACCAAAAACTTCCAAAATTATTGAAAAATATAGCTCAACAGTCTGACTAGATTCTATATTTTGGTTACATGGTACAGGCACCAAATGAGTAGGCTCTAGACTTGATCCCATAAAATTTAGTACAATATTAAAAATTATGGCAGAAAATTAAACCATCTTTAGTTTTGGGTTTTCCATCCCAGGCAGATCACAAAAAAGGTCAAATGGTAAAGGCACCAAATATGCATGCATGCAGGATTCAAACATTAAATTCAAATTTAATCTTACAATTTTTAATAAAAGACTGTAACTAAAATGGCAAGTTTGACAACAAGAGGGCCATGATGGCCCTGAGGTCGCTCACCTGTATAAAGGCACCCGGAGCGGGTCCAGTTTAAACCCCAGGGCTTTTATTTGAACAAACTTGGTAGACACCCATTAGAAGATGTTTCACGATGTTAAGTTTTTACGACACACATATAATGAAAAACAACAATCTACCCCCTCCTCCTGCCCCCCCCCCCCTGGCAGGGCCAATTTTAACCAAAGGGCTTTTATTTGAACAAACTTGGTAGACACACATAAGAAGATGATTCATGCTAAACATCTAAGCTCTAGCTCATTGGGTTTTTTTCAAAGAAGATTTTTAAGTTTTTGCTATACAAATATAAGGAAAATCAATAACATCCGGGGCGGGGCCAATTTTGACTCCAGGGCTTTTATTTGAACAAACTTTGTAGACACTCACTAGAAGATGTTTCATGCTTAATATCTAAACTCCAGCCATTTGGGTTTTTTCAAAGAAGATTTTTTAAGTTTATGCTATATACATATAGTTAAAACCAATGACACCCCTGGGGCGGGGCCAATTTTGACCCCAGGGCTTTTATTTGAAAAAAATCTTTGTAGACAAATGCTAGAAGATGTTTCATGTTTAATATCTAAACTCTAGCTTTTTGGTTTTTTTCAAAGAAGATTTTTAAGTTTTTGCTATACAAATATAAGGAAAATCAATAACACCCGGGGCAGGACCAATTTTGACCCCAGGGCTTTTATTTGAACAAACTTTGTAGACACTCACTAGAAGATGTTTCATGCTTAATATCTAAACTCCAGCTATTTGTTTTTTTTCAAAGAAGATTTTTTAAGTTTATGCTATATACATATAGGGAAAATCAATGACCCCCGGGGCGGGGCCAATTTTGACCCCAGGGTTTTTATTTGAACAAACTTGGTAGACACCAATAAGAACATGTTTCATGCTAAATATCTTAGCTCTAGCCTTTTGAGTTCTTTAACAGAAGATTTTTAAGTTTTTACTATATGCATATAGGGAAAATCAAAGACCCCCTGGGGCGGGGCCAATTTTGACCCCTGGGCTTTTATTTGAACAAAACTTGGTAGACACTCACTAGAAGATGTTTCATGCTAAATATCTTAGCTCTAGCTGTTTGGGTTCTTTAAAAGAAGATATTTTAAGTTTTTACTATATGCATATAGGGAAAATCACAGACCCCCTGGGGCGGGGCCAATTTTGACCCCAGGGCTTTTATTTGAACAAACTTGGTAGAAACTCATTAGAAGATGTTTCATGCCAAATATCTAAGCTCTAGCTCTTGGGGTTTTTTAAGAGAAGATATGTAAAGTGTTTTTTTTCGGTTGCCATGGCAACCAGAGTTCTGCATGGAATTAAATTCTTTGAACAATACTGTAAATCCGGTATTTTTCGCGATGTTTTAATTTTCGCTATTATTCGCGAATCGGCCGCGTCGCGAATTCATGATGCCGCGTAAATTTTATAACATAACATACATGCATATAAAAAAATAAATCTGATGACAATTTTTTCGAATTGTGATTAAGTTTTATAATGAATACAATAACTGAATGCAAATAATAAAATATGTGCAATGTTTTATATACATATTAAATATACGAATTATAATAAAGATATGAAGGTCAAAGATTTTTCCCATTCCTTTTTTCCTCACGAATACATGCATGTAAAACACAAAAAGAGACAATATCCACTAATAAAAAAAACACACATTGTTTAGCTGACAATAGATTTACGGTAAAACAGTGATAAACATACAATTTTCATACGGTAGATTAAGTATCATAAACAAGTATATAACACCTTCTTACAAACATTTCACGTTTTATCAAACACGTAACTTGCAAACAAAAAACAAATTTGACAAATAATTAGAGAAACCGTTCATAAGAAGTATATTACATGTAGGAAGGTACATTTTGTATTTAAAATAAATAAATAAAAAACCGTCTCTTATTAACACCATTAACATTTACCCTGCATAAGAGCGACACAGTATAGGAATGAACTTCAACCCACCCTGTTATATTGCGGGAATAAAATTCAAATAATCGCGAATATAAATTTCTGACCCTGCCATCGCGAATTCATGAATACGCGAAATATTCCGGGGGTGGGGTTTTCGCGAAATAAAGATCACGCAAATATAAAGTGATTTACAGTATTTAAAGGTGACCACCAAAGGAACATTCCTGTGAAGTTTGAATGAAATTGGCTTAGTGGTTTATGAGGAGATGTCATTTAAAGTAAAAGTTTACGGCCGGACGGACGCCGGACGAAAAGTGATCACAAAAGCACACCCTGTCACTTTGTGACAGGTGAGCTAAAAATAGTGAGCAACAGGCTTTTTATATTATAGAAGGCCAGGTTCGTACCATCGAGGCAATGTTAGCAGCAAATGCAGCAGCTGTTGTAAATGAAGTAAAGAACGTGGCTTTTCCCGCTGTTTTAATGGTGTACCAAGTTCTCTCCCTTGGATCAGTCACATGGTCAGCCTGTCTGAATATGTTGATAAATACAAAAACATCGTCCACACCTGTAATATTTAATAGAAAATCCGTAAAAAAATCTTGACCTTACAATCCACCATTTTTTTTTAACATAATTAATTTTCAGTTTTAACAGTTGGTTCTCTCCTTTTGGAAACAAATAACGCTTAAAGAAAACTGATATCTTCTTTCATTTATTTTTCCCCTGACAAGAACCACTGACCTTACACAGCTAGCTGTATAGTTTCCTCATTAAAATGATTAATATCAAGCAAGAAGATAATGGTTTACCATGGTAATGAGGTAGTGCTGAGTTTCCCAGTTGGCAGAGAGCTGAATATTTTTATCTGTGATGACAGTCAATATTGGATTCTTTTTTTGGAATCATAATTTGGAAAGAAATATTTTCATTTAGCACTTCTTTCTTATAATTATAGTGTATGAATTTACAACTTCATAACATCGAAATAATGTCATGTTTTGCAAGCATTTCATTCATAAATAGTGCGCAGAAACGACATCAATAAAAGCATGCAACTTCTTTTACAGAAGAAAATCCTACATGTGATTTGCAAGACAAGCAATTATCATAGTATTGCAAGCAATCCATAAGTCCCCTACCGGTTAGAGCCCAAGCAACATTCTGAAGGGCCATTGGCCATTCACTTAGGTTCCTATTTTAAGTAAATTTGTTGAAAAAGTTCTTTAAAAGTGATCACAGGAAACAGTTTTTATGTACAAACAGACAGACTGAAGGACACTCTAAAGTTATTTTTTAAACATTCCATGTTATCAAAATATAACATTTTTAAAATCCTATCATGATTGAAGAAGTTGGAGTAAAAATTACCAATTTCTCAAAAAAAAGTCTAAGTTCAAAAGGGGCATAATTCTGGAAATAGTCTTGCTAGAGTATTGAACACTCACAAATGTTGAGTGACAATAAGAAACATTTATATGAAGTTTGAAGTAGATACATTCAGAAAAAGAAGTTATTAAAAAAAACAATGTTTTTTTCATGAAAATTTTAAGTTAAAGGGAGGTAATTCTGATAAATTTTGTGCTAGAGTTGTAAACCTTGTCACATATGATGTGGTTGATGACAAGCAACTTATATTTAAAGTTTGAAGAAAATACCTTAAGAAATAAAGAACTTATAGTGAAAAAACTTAAAAACTAGAATCAGAAATCTTGAAATTCAGTCTATTTGTTGCCATAGCAACCAGAATTTTCAACATAGGAAGATAAAAAAGGATGTGCATAATTTCCATACTGCCATCTACCCATATGTCAAGTTTCATAAACGTATTTTCAGTACTTTTCGTGTTATCACTGGATCCAGGTTTTGTGTAAAATTTGCCATATTTTCAGTCTATTTGTTGCCATAGCAACCAGAATTTTCAACATAGGAAGAAAAGAAAAAGATGTGCATAATCTCCATACTGCCATCTATCCATATATCAAGTTTCATAAAAATATTTTCCGTACTTTTTGCATTATTGCGGGATCCAGGTTAGGCCACAGAAAATTAATCTTTAGACTCTCATCCCCGCCCGCCCGTATCAAAATCTTTCCGCCCCAAAATAATTTATTTTCATAAAAAAAAAAAATTTGTCCATTTCCAGGGTTCCCTCTGGGTCAAAATTAGTTTCATCTTCGCATGTTCCCGAAGTGTCACACAACTGATGACATAATTGATTATACGGTACCCGATTATACAGTTTGATAAACAAACTGCGTGACCTTTCACATTTGGGCCGCTTATGTAATTGACGCGGCCGCTTATGACATTTAAGTGTACTAGTTGTTGGATGCTTTTATCTTACGTTGGCGCCAGTTAAATTCGCAAATTAAAGATTTTATGTGCCAGAATTAATATTTTGTCGCATTTGAAGCCATTGGCGATCGACAGCGGGAACCCTGCATTTCGCAGACGTCTGTGGACGAAAATTCGTCCGAAAATCGTGGTTGAATATTCTCGGGACGAACACATGAAAATCAGACTGAGGTTTACAGCGTCTAGTGATCAAGATTTTAAATATCAATAAAATTGTCAAAATGTTCGTCATATGTGAAATATATGATGCAGTAAACAAGAAAACTGTTTGTGATTGGTTTGGGTTTAGTTTTGATCAAAATCTGGGTGGAAATGATGCGACATTCATCAATATATTCATACATTTCTGTTTTTTTTTCAGGTCTTAAAAGTGATGGATAAAATAAATTATAAATTATAAATTCCACCCACCCGCCCCAATTATTTCTTGAACCTGGATGAGAGTCTAAAGATTAATTTTCTATGGCCTTATGTGTAAAATTTGCCATATTTTCAGTCTATTTGTTGCCATAGCAACCCGAATTTTCAACATAGGAAGAAAAGAAAAAGACGTGCATAATCTCCATACTGCCATCTTTCCATATAAAAAGTTTCATTAAAATATTTTCAGTACTTTTTGCGTTATCGCGGGATCCAGTTTTGTGGACGGACGGACTGACAGACGGACAGACGGACTGATGGACGCACAGACAGACAGACGGACGGAGGGTAAACCTAAAGTCCCCTCCGGTAAACCGGTAGGGGACTAAAAACTTATATATATTTCTATTCTTATATATCCTTTCCCATATTTCTTTTAAATACTACTCACCTATACCAATAATAACAAAAGCCGCGGCACCATTCAGAATTCCTAGTCCTACAATTTTGAACGCAACATGGTAGAAAAATATCGCAAGTGGTGCGCTAAGCAGTATACTGACTAGACCCCAGAACGTCAGCCATATTGACCCTGACGTCAGAATCAGCATCAACAAGAAAATAGCAACAAATGCGTAGATGGCTAGCTTAACATCGTTCCAAAATGTCTGCTCTACCTCGTAGTCAAATATTTCCTGACCGCCATACAGCACCGACACATCCCTGAAACAGATATTTGTAAGTTAACAAAAATCAAAACAACAATACAGTAATTTTAGTGCAGTAATAAGTTAACATCTATTGAATTATATATGGAGTTAACATTACTAAGGTAATGATACACTACAGTATTATCACTATCTCTTGCAGTGTCATTGCACAAAGGGTATCAACCTCTATCAATATTTCTCTATTGAAGTTAAATATATTCCTTTTGAAAATTCTTGCTGCTATAATTTTCTGGTCCCTCCTGATTATTTCAATACTTTTAGCTTAAAGGGACTCCACTGAGGTATTTTGACATGATGTGACTGAAAATATTTTTTCCAGATAAATGTACCATTTGATGTAGGTTTAGACCACTAATCTTTGTGCAAACTTTCAGATCATTCGCGCACTTCGTTTTTCCAGAATAATTATTCAAATTGTAAAAAAATGACCAAAAATGAAAAGCGTATAAACGCTTTTCACTCAAATCGAGCTAAGAAATAATAAAAATACATTCAATTTATTTCAGAGTATATTTGTTAACTATCTTTGCATATATTTCTGTTTAAAGTGCCCAAGCTCATTTAATAATGTAAAAGATTCAAATGTTATGTTTTTAGGCTTTTAAACCTCAGTGGAGTTCCTTTAATGTGGATTGAGCTACAACTGATGGTCTGCAGTAATTAAGGTAATAATTACCTTGATAGTATTTAGTATCATACATAGCACTAAACCATGAAAAAATAATATGAGAATTTTGTTGGCAAGTGAGAAATTATGTGCATGATCCGATATTACATAAATCTATGTAGCAAGATAATAAAATGTTCCAGAAAAAAATATTCTTCATCATATAAATGTTCATTCTAAATCACCTAGAATTTTTAATATCATCACTTTTTTACAACCAATATTGAATTAGAATATTCAAATGATATATATCTATTACTTTAATCAATATTTGAAATATTTATAGAGAATGTTCTTATTATAGACCAATCCACTTTAAAGGACTGAAGCTAATATAGAAGCTGAACAAGTCCAATTAAGAAAAACTAGAAGTCTGCGAGTCAGATGTGTCGCCTTGTGAACACAGTATAGCTGTCACTTAGGCATTTTCTTCTTAAATATAGGATATCTATAACTCAAAAATTATGAAACACAGAGTGAAGACTCTTGTGCACTGCACTTTATGTCATTGAAAGGAGGACGCAATTACCAAGTTTGGAGTCAATCGGACTTAAAGTGACTGGGTTATGCTCCAGACAAGCCTTAGGGGACGCCAACACGGCCAACGCCGCCAACAAAAGTAAACCCTATATGCCGTCTTTTTCAAGGCGACACAATACGAAGGTATAGAGCTAAGCTTTATTTCAGGCCTAAGTTTGCTTACTGATTGAATGGAATGTTACATCATCAAGCTGGATATGAGCCACTTCATGACAAAAACAACGTAATGCGTTTGCAACCAGCATGGATCCAGACCAGCCTGCCCATCCGCGCAGTCTGATCAGGATCCATGCTGTTAGCTATCAGTTTCTCTAGGGTTTGTAAGTGAACATCATGGATCCTGATCAGACTGCGCGGATGCACAGACTGGTCTGGATCCATGCTGGTCGCCAAGACGCAAACCCATTATGTTGGTTTAGTCATGACACGGCTCATATGTTTTCTCACATGAAAGAATTCTACCTAACATTTGAAAACTGAAACCTTCAGTTATATAATGTTGGACAACAGATTTGAATCAAGCAATTAAAACCCTCAAGTATCACTGAAATCACCCAGCTTAGCATACTAGAAAGAACACTGGATTTAATTCTCACGCCAGGGAAATTTTCTCTGTGACAATTGATCTTTGACATTGAGAACTGATCTCGGACATTAAGTATAATGGTCATCTTGTAACCTTAGTGCAGTAAAGGATTAAGTCCTTTCTCAATTTAATAGGAGTTATTAACCAGTTACTGCAGTAAGGTGACAATCTGTCTCGTCAGATAAGTAGTTAGTTACTAGCTGAGAAATTATTGGTAATAACTGGTTAGTTATCCAGGGCAGCCCGGAGTTAGGTGGTCATACCAATGAGATATGATTCACATTTGAGTTGAAATAAATAAAAACTAGAGCTATCACTAAATGTGATTAATACCCCCCGCGAGACTGTTTCGGAAATGAGGAAGTTACTAGTAACAGAATACCTTGTAAAATAAAATTGAAATAGAGTTATGTTTGTGGGCAATTAAATATAGTTGTCTGTGGTTCTTGTAGGTTGCATTTTCTTTTACTGTGGTTGACCATTGATGAAGTTTTTTTTAATTACTCTGTAATAAGTCCAAATAGAGTTATGGTTCTTTAGCATTGCACTTCATCTCATTGTGCTTGACCATTGTATGAGGTTACATTGAATTCTAAAAATTAGTTTTTAAGTTATGCACCTGACAAGGAAAAGTATCAAAGGGCAATAACTCTGTTATTTGTCAAATGGTGTTATTGTTCTTGTGCACTGCACTTCCTCTTAATGTGCTTGACCATTGTATGAAGTTGTTTTGAATTCCAACCAGTAGTTTTCAAGTTATGCTCCGGACAAAAAAAGCAATGGAAAAGTAACAAAGGGCAATAACTCTGTAATTACTTTAGATAGAGTTATGGTTCTTATGCACTGCACTTCCTCTTATTGTGCTTGACCATTGTATGAAGTTGTTTTGAATTCCAACCAGTAGTTTTCAAGTTATGCTCCGGACAAGGAAAAGTGACAAAGGGCAATAACTCTGTAATTAGTGAAGATGGAGTTATGGTTCTTGTGCACTGCGCTTCCTCTCAATGTGCTTGACCACTGAATGAAGTTATATTGAATTCCAACCATTAGTCTTCAAGTTATACTCCGGGACAAGGAAATATGCAACAGACGGCTGGACCGACCGACCGAGTGACTCCTATATACCCCAGGTATAAAAAATAGTCCACTTTTAATGCATTTTTCAGTCTCTTGTTGTATTTTAATAAATTACCGAGGCCTACTTATTGATGATGTAAATACACAGTGATACTTTATACATTATTGACAGTCAGCAGCAGCTGTCCCTGTCAACACACTTACAATGTTTTTTTATTTATTAACAGTAACCTCCTTATATAATAAGGTCAAAATCTAGGTCATAAATTTAGATGGAATAAGGACAATAATTAAATCTATGACATTTCTGGCTATAAAATTAACATAAAAATGTTCATATAACATTTATGACTATATTTATCTTGTGTATTATAAACAAAATGTACACCAGTTACTGTAGCCTAGGTATATATATCTATATATATATACATATATATATTGGTAGGTGATGAAAGCTAGCCCTCAGGGCAAAGATAATATTGTCATGGTTTTGTTTATGATTTGTTTACTGTTTTGCTAAAAAGCTTTGATATGAAATCTGTCATCTTAAATCGAAGGAAAAATTACTTACATGAAATATTTATGAAAATAAACATTTTCTTTTAAGTTGATAAAATATAACACAAATACCTTTTGATCTTGTTAAGTGAATCTTCATACAAAAGGAGTGTTGAGGTTTATTTTGGATGGGTTAAATTATTATAAAATGAATAACTTTAAATTGTTCATTTTGATGTTTTTGTTTTTTTTAAATTCAAAACTATCAAATGAAATATCCAATTTTAATCAATAAGTAAGATTTCAAAACTAAAAAAAACTATATATTTCTACAGTTATGTAGAGAAATTCTTACAGTTACTAATGCAGTTCCATTTTGCTTAACTGAATTCAAATTTAAATATCTCACATTTAACAAAATATTTTATATTTTAAGTGTGAAATTTGTCGTAAATGAAGTGGTTTCAGTCCTGTCAATGTGCAAGCATTCCCTATTGATTGTATATATCATTGAGATATAGACTACATAGTTATCTACCAGTACATCTCTGTAAAATGCGCAATTTCCAACATTATTAATCGCTTTAACTTTTTTTTTTATATTTAAAGATATTTTGAAAAGGAAAGCTGTTCTGAAATGCTTATAATGAGCACTATGAGATGAAATCATTTATTTATTTAAATAATTAGATAAAAACAATACATGACTTTGTAGTATGGGGCAGCTACTTTAAATGAATCATTCCAAACAATGACCAGTCCCATTTTCTCTACAAACAAAACAAATGAGCTGTGTCACGACAAAACCAACATAGTGCGTTTGCGACCAGCATGGATCCAGACCAGCCTGCGAATCCGCACAGTCTGTCCAGGAGCCATGCTGTCGCTATCAGTTTCTCACCTTGCAAAAGGGTTGGTAAGCAAACAGCATGGATCCTGATCAGACTGCCTGGATGCGCAGGCTTGTCTGAATCCATGCTTGTCACAAACGCACTAGGTTGGTATTGTCGTGATGCGGCTCAAATGAACTATGAGCGCATCGTTCGACACAGTGGATTTACAACATCACTCATAATCACTGAACTATGTCTTGAAAGCCTATAGAACTCATTGTGTACATTGTGATTACTAAAACAATTGTTAATTTTGATCTCTGTACCTTTTCTTGGTAGCCTATAATTTATATATCCTAGCTTGTTCCTGTCTAGCAAAAACTGGAAGCAGACTCATTAATTGATTTAAGATTTATCCATTGTATCACATCAACTTTAAACAAAAAATAAGGCCTTGCGGGCGTTTTTCTAACATTCTGTAAGTTTAGCATATCTTTTTAAACAAGCAATTATCATAGTATTGCAAGCAATCCATAAGACCCCTACCGGTAAGAGCCAAAGCAACATTCTGAAGGGCCATTCACTTATGTTTCTATTTTAAGTAAATTTATTGAAAAAGTTCTTTAAAAGTGATCACAGTGAACAGTTTTTATGTACAGACAGAGGGACTGAAGGACACTCTAAAGTTATTTTTTAAACATCCCTGTTATCAAAATATAACATTTTTAAAAGCAAAATTTTAAAAAAAGGAGATAACAAAGTCATACATGATGTGAGTGTAACAAAGAACAATTAGTAATGAAGGTATGAATATTGAATGTTTATTTTGAATTTGAAATAAATGAAAATTAAAAGAACAAATAGGAAAAATTAAAAGTTCAAGGAGGAGATAATTCTGGAAATATGGATGCTAGATTTATAAACCTTGTCATATTATTATGATGTGGGAGTTTGAAGAAAATCCTATCATGATTGAAGAAGTTGGAGTAAAAATTACCAATTTCTCAAAAAAAAGTCTAAGTTCAAAAAGGGGCATAATTCTGGAAATAGTCTTGCTAGAGTATTGAACACTCACAAATGTTGAGTGATAATAAGAAACATTTATATGAAGTAGATATGTTCAGAAGAAAAGAAGTTATTAAAAAAAAACAATGTTTTTTTCATGAAAATTTTAAGTTCAAGGTAGGTAATTCTGATAAATTTTGTGTAAGAGTTGTAAACTTTGTCAATACTTTTACAGTACTTTTTGCGTTATCACTGGATCCAGGTTTTGTGTAAAATTTGCCATATTTTCAGTCGATTTGTTGCTATAGCAACCAGAATTTTCAGGACAGGAAAAAAAGAAAAAGACGTGCATAATCTCCATACTACCATCTATCCATGTATCAAGTTTCATAAAAATATTTTCAGTACTTTTTGCGATATCGCGGGATCCAGGTTATGTGTAAAATTTGCCATAATTTCAGTCTATTTGTTGCCATAGCAACCAGAATTTTCAGCATAGGAAAAAAAGAAAAAGACGTGCATAATCTCCATACTACCATCTATCCATGTATCAAGTTTCATAAAAATATTTTCAGTACTTTTTGCGGTATCGCGGGATACAGGTTATGTGTAAAATTTGCCATAATTTCAGTCTATTTGTTGCCATAGCAACCAGAATTTTCAACATGGGAAGAAAAGAAAAAGACGTGCATAATCTCCATACTGCCATCTATCCATATATCAAGTTTCATTAAAATATTTTCAGTACTTTTTGCGATATCGCGGGATCCAGTTTTGTGGACGGACGGACGGACTAACGGACGGACGGACCGACAGACGGACAGAGGGTAAACCTAAAATCCCCTCCGGTAAACCGGTAGGGGCCTAATAAATTTGGACATGCAATTTATACCAGCAAAAAGTGGGCCTAACTATATGTTTAAACCTAAGCAAATCAGAGCTAAGAAAGTTTACTGAAACGCAAATAAAACTTAAGTTCTGCTTACGCAAAAAGTTACGTTCAAACTCGAGTTATGAACACGTAAGTATGTTAGTGAAACGTACTCCTGGAAACACCAGGATATTGATAATTATATCATATTTGAGCCGCGTCATGACAAAACCAACATAATGGGTTTGCGACCAGCATGGATCCAGACCAGCCTGCGCATCCGCGCAGTCTGATCAGGATCCAGTCTGTTCGCTTACAAACCCTATAACAAGTAGAGAAGCTGATAGCGAACAGCATGGATCCTGATCAGACTGCGCGGATGCGCTGGCTGTTCTGGATCCATGCTGGTCGCAAACGCATTATGTTGGTTTTGTCATGACACGGCTCATTAAATGATCTTACTTTGTTGAGGATTTAGACAGGATGTCAATATACGTGATGACAAAATCTTTAAACTTTTGACTTTGTTCACTTCTTTTTGTGTAGGGTGTTCCATATCCTGAAATGAAAAAAAAATAACACACTTATTTTTACACTTAATACTGGAAGCATTAGTAATCAAAATAAGAGGAACATGAAGAAATACAACACATCATAATATACATTTGTATTTTAGTTATTTTTAATCTATTCCTTAATTTAGGATTAGCCTTTTATTTTTGGTGTTCTTTTTTTGTTTCAAAAAAGTTACTAATTGGCCATATTTTGCTTCTGTTGTATTTTTGGCAATTAGAACAGATATTATAATTTAGTATTTTGTATTGAAGCCAAAATACTACTTTATTTACATTTTGCTACTTTTATGACAAAAAAACACTTCAGTGATTCTTTCGTTGGGTACAAAAATGTAAGAAACATCTAACTTGCTCTAAACCAATTATTTAAACATTATAACACTTCTGTTTGCCCTCGCTAAAGATGTAAAAATTTCATTACTTCGGAGTCATGCTGTGCCTTTAAATAAACAGTGTATGTGACAACTTTACTTAGATGACTCATAATTATATGTAAAGTTTGATAAAAAAAATTTGACAAATCAGGAAGTGGTAAATTCAAAGTTATATACATGTTTAACCCTTAGTCATGAAAAGACCCGAGCATTTTCCTGCTTGACTAGATCCCAAGCTGATAACATACCGAGGCCAAAATAAACTGAAGGTCTATATTCCTGGTCACATACCACAAAAAAAAAATCTAAATATATAAGTATATATTTTTAAATAACAATGTCCTTAATTATATCAATTATACAGTCATGTTTATTACATACTTTTCAGTGGTTTATAGAAATATATCAGTGATATAAAACTGGTAATTTCACTGTTTTAAACAGTGAAATTATCAATTTGATAATTTCATTGTTTTGAATTTAAGCCCCTTACCCTGTTTCAGTGAAATACTGGCGTGCACAGTACTGGGAACCAACTTAATGACATGACATCGTAAATGACGTCACGTTGTATTATAATTTTGCGCGCTTTTCATTCAGTATTAGGTTAAATGTCTTTTTAGAACATCTCTTTGCATATAATAAACAGAAAATTTGTTTCGTTAAGTGTAAGATCGAAATATATTTCACCTTGTGAACATCAAAAGAAATATACCTTTTGGTGCTCACTTGGTGAAATATATTCCGATCTTACACTGAACTAAACAAATATCCTCTATTTACTGTACAAAAAAAAAAAAAAAACTTTAAGTGAATTTATAAATATCTAATTGAATCGAGTATAATTTTAACATTACTTTATGTACAAATATATATTGAAATAAATGTGGTTTTTTGTTTTTTTGTTTTTTTCTAAAGGCAAAATCAAAATTTTATATTATTCTACAGTTATATAGAGCTTTTTTTTCTAAAGGCAAATAAAAAGTTAAGCATGCATGTCAAGTATGCACTCAACAACAGGGTAGGTATGGAGACCTAAAACAGAACACTTTTTTACATCGGACATAAACCAATAAAGTGCACTATCAAAGTACTAAAACTGAGGGAAAACAAACATTCATAAAGATTTTATGATAAATATTTTACCTGTGTCATTACACAAATGACCTATTTTCAATGAAAAGTTTTAAACCTTTAAACATTTATCACTGACATATTTGTTTTCTTTCCTTCCACTGACTAGAAGTGTCAAGGAATGATAATCATTATTTGAGCCGCTTCATGACAAAACCAACATAATGGGTTTGCGACCAGCATGGATCCAGACCAGCCTGCGCATCCCCGCAGTCTGATCAGTATCTGTTCGCTTACAAACCCTATTACAAGTATAGAAACTGATAGCGAACAGCATGGATCCTGATCAGACTGCGCGGATGCGCAGACTGGTCTGGATCCATGCTGGTCGCAAACCCATTATGTTGGTTTTGTCATGATGCGGCTCATTTATTCAGTTTTTTTCCTTGAATTGAATTTTTCATACTTTTTTTACAGGGAAATTAACACACACAAGTGATTTCCTCTGCTATTTCCGTCTTTTCACAGGAGTGAGGAGGGACCACGGAGTGTTACATATGACTGGTACATACAATCATGTAACTGACAAATTAACATACTTTTAAGTGGAGAAATATACCTTTAAGTGGAGAAATATACCTTTAAGTGGAGCAACATACTATAAGTGGAGAAATATACCTTTAAGTGGAGCAACATACCTTTAAGTGGAGAAATATACCTTTAAGTGGAGCAACATACCTTTAAGTGGAGCACCAAACAGAACCTCAGTTCTTAGAAACTGACTCCTCATATTGGAACTGTTCACTTTATCATCCACGTAGTAATAAAAATGGTTTGTTGTCAATGCAAATCTTAAAGCACTGTCCACATTATCCATATTATCACCAAGACCGTCGTAAAACACTTTTCCCGTTTTGTCTTTCGACGGGAAAAAGTACGAGAGGAGGGAATTCAAAGGGGCACAACCGTTTATGGCTTTAACAGCCGGATCGTTTTTCACTTGGCCGTCTTTATAACAAAATTCTGAGAATTTCTCGTGAGCAAGGATTTTCTTCTCAATGTTATGGATTTGATGCAATCGCTCTTTTGTAAAAATATTTTCACCCTTTTCTGTCATGAAGATGACCTGAAAATAAAGGACTTATTTTAGAGGAACTCAACAAAGATCCAAAAGACTAAAAACATAATATTTTTAGTTTTTACTTAGATCAACTTGGGCACTTAAAATAAAAAGATATGCAAAAGATAATTAAGAAATATATTGAAAATCATACTTTTGTGCCATTTTTTTGCATGATTTGAGTTAAAAGCCTTGCATTGTATTTAAATTTTTGGTCATTTTTCACAATCAGAATAATTATTTTGGAAAAACGCAGTGACGGTACAAAAATCTCGCAAAATCCCAAAATGTCAAAAAAACTTAAGTGGAGTCCCTTTAATGGATACACAGCCATTCTGTTAAGAAATATTTTTACAACATTCATAAACAGCAAAATAATATTAGTTCCTCAATCTTAAGGTCGATTCTCAAAGGAGTTGTAACATAAAATGTCTCTGTCATTTAAATACACCTTAATATTGCATGTAAACAGAGTAAAATGCTTTGGAACAAAATATTATTATGCTGTTTTTACAGAGTGCCCCAAAAGAAAGTAACACTTTTAATCATTGATATTTAAGAAGGGTTGTATTGGTTTTTAAAAGCAAATTAATAGAAATTATTGCTTAACTGTTAAGCAATAATTTCTATTAATTTGCTTATAAGATAGTTACAACCTTATTTATTTCATACAAGCATTTTGAAAGTATTCTTCTTTAAATTCAAAACATAACTTTTAAGTAGAGGCTGGTAGCATCCTAACTAATATGATTATCTATGATTGTGCGTTGGAATTTTTTTTAAATATTAAACAATACTTTTACGGCACACCAACACAAAAGGTAGGAGGGATAAACTGGAATCTATAATGCTTTAATTTGAAATCTACATGTACCAAAATATTTCCGGTTGAATTATGTTACTATGACGACATACCTGCATCTTCCAAGCCGGGTAATACTGACTCCACTCTGCCGACCGTCTTCTTCTAACTAAACTACGCCTTTTACGACGTTTTAATATATTTTGCATCAAGTCTGAATACAATCTACTTTGTCTTCCTACAAGTTTTGTGTCACCTGAAAATTCACACACAGAGACATTTTCCAATAAGAATCTTTTAAAATCAGAACAATCAGTAGCAAAATATCAACAATCAGTAGCAAAATCACTATCAAAAATATTTTAGATGTCTATTTTAATTTTTCATCCTTCCTTAGGGTTACGGTTACAGATTAATGATTACAAATGCCAAACTATACTATTGGTGGCTCAGTTTTAAGTCTTACTTTGCTGGAACCAAGTAGTTGAACTTTGCCACCAGGCAACAGCCTGACCAGCCAGGACATCCTTGCAGTCTGACCAGTAATGGTTGGTAGCTCAATTTTTGTGTAAAAAACTAAAACTAAAAGCCAGGTTCAGTAGATAATACAGCTGAATAAAGGTTTCTTCTACAATTGTTCTGAATGCTCATGTCATTTAATATTAAGTACATTTAATAAACACCAGTAAAAAAATTTGTAAGAGTTGACCTAGCAATGTAAGTAAGTAAGTAAGTAAGTAAGTAAGTAACGATTTTATTTAATGAGGCAACACAGTTGGGCAAGCCCAGTCTTCCCTGTGGGCCTCAACAATATACAAAACAATTTACAAAATATAATACATCAATAAAAGATTAAACAAGATATGTTTGTAAAACATGTATGCCCCCTATCAGCAACCAATTAGTCATGTGATCAGGTTATTATGCATGACTTCTGACCCAGTGAACAAACAATTAATGTATATATAACGTCGGGATTTAATTTTTCAATGTTAAAAACCAGATCAATACTAGTAAACACATGCCATGGGAGAAATTTTCACAACATTCATTACCAAAATTAATTAAATCTTTATTACCTATGTTATTTTTAACTCCTCTCCCTGACCTTTGAAGATGATACAGCCAGCTCACTCTGTTCATGTCCAGTCTGGAGAATGACGTGTGATTCTTTTTGGCAGTCTGGAGTGCACCATAATTCAACGATGCTTCATGGTTAGGAATTCTAAATGCTCGGTATGATTTATCAATCACTGGCGCGGGCTTCAATACAAACAAAGCATGATATCCTAGCCCCGAGCAGATTGCTAGCATGCTGAACATGCAAAACAAACATATAAACAAGTCCAGACATGTTCGACGGGACTTCTTGGGGATTCTTCTGAACCTTATGCTAAAGTATGCAAAATTGATGCGTGGAATTTTCAAGGTTTTCATCAGAATTACGATCCTGCTGAACGAAAACCGCCCATTATCGTCATCATCGTCTAATTCATCATCAGCATTGTCATTGATTATGTAATTCAGTGGTAAATTGGCATCAATATCGTCTCGGTCGTCCAAAGGCTCGTAATTTCTTCGTGACTGGGAAAAAAAGCCTGCCATTGCAATATGTTACTTTCTTCTCGTCATAGTTCTCTCATCTGAAAAGAAATAGGGAAAAAAATATTAAGTTAAAATTTCACAAAATTTGAAATTATTAAAAACATTATATCATGAAAATCGAAAACAATCTGAAGATATCTGATTAATGTGACCTATATTGAACTATATTCAAATATCTTTTCTAAATCAGCTTTCTCGTAGTCCACATTCAGCTTTCTTGCCCCATAGAGGGCCAATTTTCGATCTCATTGCTAATTGAACACTTTGTCTACCAGGCATGTCATATGAAATCAATTTTTTTTCAATGTAAGATAAGAATATGGTGTATTCTTTTTTGTGTACATGTTTTAAACAGTGATTTTGCCATTTTACTTCATATAACATCATGAAATAAAAGAATCTTACATCTTCAACACTCATACAATAATGAATAATGAAAAAACAACTTATGTCACACACCAAAAATATTTTCATATGTACATGTAACTAAATCAAATTCAGATTATAAATATATTTTAAAATGACAAACTTGTATTTACGAATCAAACTACTGTAAATTTATATAATGATATAATTTGTATAATGAATTGTATCATTGTTACTCATTTATTTTACTTTCATTAAATTTTAATTTAAATTTAAAAAAACAATGGATATACCGATACTTGGTACATTATTTAATTATTTTCAAAACTGATTTTTTTCTCTCTCATTTCCTTGGAGTGTTGGTGGCTTCACTTTTTACCTATGCAACCAGTGTAGACCAACACTGGCTAGCACATAAATGATGTCTGATCATGGTCTGCACTGTTCACTATTCAGCCATTTTTTTTAAATTCCCTCCTAAAATGGGAAATTTATGAAATATGTCCAGGTTGGAAGTCCTTTTCAGATATTAAGTATGATAAGAGTCAATAATAAGCATGTAGTATGTACTATGTAGTTCATTATTACCAGGCAGTGTTAAAGGCACATTAAATAAATATTCACACTTTAGAAAAATGCAAAATTGAGTTTTATAACATATAAATATTGGTTTTAGAGTAAGCTAAATGCATAAACCTTGAAGAAAGAATCGCTGAATGTGACTTTGAATGTACTTATTGCCGAGAAGCAATAGAAAGTCCAGTCCAGTCTAAAAAGTATCTTTTTGGAAACTATAACCAGACTCCAAAAATAAAGATGCTTTTGAAAATTAAAAATAAAAGCATTTTTGGGACATCATAAATAAGCCTTTAAAAAAACAACATATGAGCGGCGCCATGACAAAACCAACATAATGGGTTTGCAACCAGCATGGATCCAGACCAGCCTGCGCATCCGCGCAGTCTGATCAGAATCCATGCTGTTCGCTATCAGTTTCTCTACTTGCTATAGGGTTTGTAAGCGAACAGCATGGATCCTGATCAGACTGTGCGGAAGCGCAGGCTGGTCTGGATCCAAGCTGGTCGCAAACGCACTATGTTGGTTTTGTTGTGACACGGCTCATATTAAGTGAAATACAATGTTTTTCATAGAAATTCTATTGTGAGCAAAAGTTTTAACAATTATGAAATATTTATTAGTCTCACTTGAAATTTTCTCCCTTTTTTAGCAATAGACTGCATAAATGATCATATCTTAAATAATAAACAACACTAAATATCTTAAAATAGACAGAATAATTAATCATTAATAGGGAAATTTCAAAATAATATCTGACTGATTATTTAACAGTGCAGACTCAGTGATTTTTCTCGTTTAATTGGGAAGAGGCCTATAGCCTCAATGATTTTTGGGAAAAAACTAGATCGCCGCTAAAATTGCTTATTCTGGGCAAGGAAAAAACGCAGCGTTTTAAGTTCAGATTTTTTTGGGAAAAACTGCATGATTTTAAAGAAAATTTCAATTGGGAAGAGGCCCTTTTTCGGAGTCTGTTTTATAAGTAGGAAAATCACTGGCAGACCATGATCAGTGCATGGCCACCAGCAAAACTAAGTTCAGCTATATACATGTATACAAAATGATAGGGACTCCACTGACTGAGGTTTACAAGTCTAAAAAACATAGCATTTGAATTTCTTACATATATTTATATACCGTAAGCTGCTGCAATTAAAACAGAAATATAATTTGAAATAAATAGTAAATTGTATTTTTATGCTGTTCTTAGTCCAATTTGAGACACTTTCCATTTTTGGGGTCCATTTTTTACAAATTGAATAATTAATGTCTGGAAGAGAACGAAATTCGGTGTGGATTGAATCTGAAATTATTTTCACACAAAGATGTACATCAATGGTACATTATTTCTGAATATAGTTTTGCAGTACCATGGGAGAATGTCACAAAAACTTACAGTGAGATCACCTTATATATATCAAACACACTAACACTACTTAACATAATTTACCTAATGAACACAATATCAAAGGATAACCATGAAGAAAACTGGTAGTTGTAGATAAAGTGAGTATTAAACCGATTGCGTGTTTTGATGTGTTTGTTCTCCATCAAAATCATCTAATTTATCATATATCAAAAAAGATAAATTTACATTCAGAAAGCGCAAAATTTACATTCAGAAAGCGCAAAAAACTCAAGTACATGATTGTATGAAACATACAAAATTTTTAAATCATAATAAAGTTTTTTACTAATCCAGAAAAAATCTATATAAGTCTAGATTAACATAATCGCAAACCTTATAATTTTATTATGTTTTCTTTTGCTTTATTAATTTTCAACATAAGAAAATAGTCAATTAATTATATTATTGGATTTTAAACATTATTTTACTTAAGCTTACTTTGCGAAAACAAGTTTTTTGCAACTTGTACATTAATCACTTTCAAGTCTAGTTCCTGGCACAACCATACTGTCAAATATGAAGCAACAGGTTGTGTCCAATTAGGACTTCGAACCCATTATGCATGTATATGACATCATCCCATACTCCTGCCGCACCCCCAGAAGGTCGCCTACACCCTTTTCCACCAGTCCTAGTTATTATTAATACAACAACATACTCAAATCTATAAAATCCCAAACAAATAACAATTACGAAATCAAGTCTCTTATCCTATACATCATAATTGTATTAGAACCCAAACCAGCTAAAACACACATATTAAATTTTATTTCAATAAATATTACATAACAAAATTTATACTAATCCCCTGCACAGCCTCTGAATGACAATCACAGTACATGTACAATAATACATTTTAGGTATACAATAAACATGTATAATGTTTATAATTTATTAAACCTAACAGACTGACTCTGATTTTACAGAATATCTGTCAACAAAAGTTTAAAGCTTATCTATTTTGACACATGTATAATAAATAAAAAAACATAGTTAAAATAATCCTATATAACTGTGTGCAGTAGTAACATAACCAGAATTTGTAGGATAAATGGACAACTGACAGCTTTTACATGTACATTTTGTGCATCAACCTTTTAACTATGTGACTCTGACAGTATTAGATAGAGTTTGCATTAATAGAGGACTTGTTTATATGATCCAAATATAATAATTTGTGCAGAAAGATGCAGTTACATGTAACTGACTTTTTTATGAGGAAGCAGTGACTTTTCTGCCTATATTTTACAGTTGAATAAAGGCTGCATCCCCTAGCCAAAAATTGGTATTTCCCCCACCCCGCCCCTTAAAAATGGCGTGAGTGAGCCATTTCCCCTGACATGCGAGTAGGTGCGAGCATTCTTGTATCGAGAACCATAAGCTTAAACATGCAGGCTTAGTTCAATAACATTCTAGGATTGGACTTATAGAACACAAAGCATGACCCTATCACGTACAGCAGTAGGCTAAGCTTTCTTTTTCATACGACCTACCTAACGATAGCCTTTTTGCTACTGTTCAATCGGGTACGCGATATGCATGATGTAAATTGAATTGAAATTAAATTTTTATATAAATTGTGGGATGAATCCATTCTTAGTTTCTGGAATTTGATTTCAGATTTTCCCCTTTTTCTGATGCATTGGTTTGTAGTATCCCCCTTTACGAAGTCAACAAGGTATTTTGGGAAAAATGAAAAACAAGAGGGCCAATGAGCCCAAGAAGTCGCTCACGGGGGGGAGGGGGTGAACCCATCAAATCATCCAAGCAATTACCTAGACAAGCATCCTGACCAAGTTTCATAACAGTTGAGTCAAAAAATGATACCTCTAGAGTGTTAACAAGGTTTTTCCATATTTAAGCAGTCACAGTGACCCCAGATGAACCCATGTTCGAACTCATCCAAGCAATTACCTAGACAAGTATCCTGACTAAGTTTGATGACAAGTTAACTGAGTCAAAAGTATGACTACTAGAGTGTTAACAAGGTTTTTTTCAATATTAGGGCAGTGCACCTAGTTTTTGACCCCAGGTGACCCATATTCAAACTTGACCTAGAAGACATCAAAAAAACTTTCAGACAAATTTCAAGGATATTTGTATCAAAACAGTAGCCGCTACAGTGTTAACAAGATTTTTCTATTTTTTTAGCTCCTGTGACCTAGTTCTCCTCCAAATGACCCATGTTCGAACTCATCCAAAGCAATTACCTAGACAAGCATCCTGACAAGTTTGATGACAATTGAGTCAAAAATGTGACCAGAACTTTCACTCCACACACCCCACTCCCTTAAGAAAATATTCATTGTCTGTGACCAACACATACTGGCAAATATCTCAAATAATGTAATTTAAAAAAATATCTGAAGCAATTTTAATTCATAAACTACATTTTACGTGTTATTATTACACCACTTTTAACAAAACGTCATAGCTTCCTTTTGGTACCTTTTTTTAATTATAAACAGTGCCAAAGTGGTATCGCAAAAATGTGTGACAAATGAAAAAATAAGAGAAAAGTTTACTGGTATTTATTTGACATGTTGGTCAATATCTTTTTTTAACTTCTAAACAAATCTCTTTGAGAAGAATAGAAAACAACAACATAAAATCCGCGATTTTGGCTGCATCATTTTTACAAACCAAATAGCAAACCTTTTATAAGTCGACAATCTCTTTAAATGATTG